CAAAGAAATACCCTGGAGCTACTCCTCTGCAGGCCACCTCCCAGCCAGGGGACTCCACTGCTTCTGAGAATCTCAGATGGTTGGAAGAATTCTAACCCCAATGGTTTAGACATGAATTAACACTGAATTTATTTATTCCAGGTTAGAACTGGCCTTAAGTGTATCAATAAATTGAAACTTTTTTCAAAGGGAAGGGAGAAAATGTTAGTATGTCTAGATAAACTACCTTCTGATTGATTGAAACACAAGGGAGGTTCCTTCTTTAAAGCACTTCAGAAAAAAGGGGGAATAAGTAACCTTTACTCTACTGTGCAAACACTATACAAGGGGGAGTAACTCAGCATCAGTCATTGGTGGAATACAATTAAGTCACTGAACAGAGTGACTCTATGAAGGTGGCCTTGAACCCACCCCAGCCTCAGCTCAGGGTTTAGGCAGCAGCAGGAGGCCATTATCTTAGCACAACATTCTGTTCCGTTGACATCTGCACAATCTCTCTCAATTCTAGTGTCTCAATAAAATTAACCAGTTAGAACGTTAACTTTCTTTGCACACTATAGGCTATGAGGAAACATATATATTTTTGAGGGGGGGCCCTAACCCAAGGCCCACCTTCCTCTATCTTATATGGGAGGCCGCCACAGCATGGCTTGACAAACAGTACATCGATGCGCGACAGGGATCTGAACCTGGGAACCTTGTGCAGCTGAAGCGAGTGTGCGCACTTAACTGCTATGCTGCCAGGCTGACCCTGGAAACATCTTCATAAAACAGCAGGAATGTTCTTCAACAGCTGGCTTCAAACCCCTGCTCTCCTGTTGGTGGAAGTGTGCTCATTCTTATTTCTAAAGTTAATCTGTTTGTTTCAACAAGAGAGTGGCTGTTCTTTTAACATTAAGGAAACTGAAGGAAATAAAAAGAATCCTTGAATGCATTCTTTAAAACATTCCTATGACATGCTCAAAAGTTGAGTGAGGTGTTTGTTTTTTCCAGAACAAAGCCTGATAGACTTACAATTGACTGTGTTAAGTGGATTGATGGTGGTATTGGGGGATCTCTAAGATCAAACAATTTGTTTAAAAAGCAGTAGTTCTCAGAGTTGTGTAAAAATCCTAATAATTCCACAATAACCTTTATCTTTGACCTAAAAATGAAGATGCTAACTCCTTTATCTCAGTTTCACACAATAAACTGTAAAATAGCAACAGATTCTGTCCCCAAAATTGCTTTTCATTTCCAGCAGAATATGAAAGAGGAGAACACGGACCCTCAATGTTTATAGTCTTCTCACACAGTGTAATTAAACTCTTAGGTGACAGGAAACACTTCAGAGTTAAGAAAGGGCGGTTGCTCTTTCAGAAAGCATCAGAGAGCCCTCTAGTGACCATGACGGAGAGTTAATGCAGAGATGACTGTCTAGGCAATGGCAGACTAGAGACAGAAAAGCAGTCATGGGTGTTTACAAAGGAAAAAGAGGTGTGGGGAATCTCTTTTGGTTTACAGTATATTTAAAACTGGGTGACTAGGGGTCGGCCCTGTGGCATAGCGGTTAAGTGTGCGCGCTCCACTGCTGGCGGCCTGGGTTCGGATCCCAGGTGCGCGCTGACGCACCCCCGATGCACTGCTTCTCAGGCCATGCTGTGGCGGTGCCCCATATAAAGTGGAGGAAGATAGGCATGGATGTTAGCTCAGGGCCAGTCTTCCTCAGCAACAAAAAGAGAAGGATTGGCATGGAAGTTAGCTCAGGGCTGATCTTCCTCAAAAAAAATAAAATAAAATAAAATTGGGTGACTGTATTCTTAGATACTTTAACCTAAGTAACATTTATAAATATGTTCTGTGAAACCTAATAGCCACAAGTCACACTAAAATTCCCTTGTCCAGCACCTATGCTTTCCCCAATTTTTTTCTCTAGTCAGTTCACATTTCAGAGTTGGTAGCATGCAACTCTCCATGCCAAGAAAAGTGCATCCCGGCCCTTCAGGGGCACTGTCAACAGGAGAGACTAGAAACACGCTCCACTCTCTCAGCTTCTGCTTAGACAACTCTCTCACATTCTGCACATAAAACACACTGGGTATAGAACCATCAATTTCTGACTCTCAAGTCGACCTCTCAGCTGTTGACAGCTTCAAGCAATAGTTTTATTGTGCACCAAGAGGCTTGGAAGCGTGGCACTGCTCTTTGGGGATCAGGGTCTTCCTACCTTCACAGAACGGAGTTAGTGTATGCTACGCAGTGGCACCAGGGGCCCTCCCCGCCATCCAAGGAATTTAGATCAGTGGCTTGTCCTTGGCACTGAGGTGACACATACTGTCACAATACTCAGTGATAAAAGTCCCTGCTGCATTAGTAAGTCAGTTTTGAAGCTCTCTTGTTGTAGCAAGACCTTTCAGTCAGTGTGGATGCAGCATTTCTGAACAGAAAATTATTTTTCCTTACCATTAGAACCACTTCCAAACCCTTGGAAATCTTGGACCTGAGCAACATCTTTGTCCTTTCCTACCAGAGTACTGGTTAACTTTCTGATCTTTCGATCAAGACGACTTGATCCGAATTAACACTCAGCTCACGGCAACTCACTTTCAGCAATTCTTGGTAGGTGAGCTCTTGTCAATCCAGTTCAATGTCAACGAAATCATTTTCTGGAAGAGATGGATTCTAAATCTTCATCTTGAGAACTCGCTCTTGCATCTTAAATGGAAACATTCCAGTGAAGAGAAATTGATGAAATGCTGGCACTGGTCCTGTACACATCCCATTTTGATGCTCCAGAGACACTGGTGGCTTGGACCAGACAGAAGAGAACAATGAGTGACTCTGACTCACTGGTGGCTGATACACAGGATCTGATTTTGTGCTTTCTGGTGTTGTGAGTACGGCAGAGGAGGCAGACACATCCCAGTTCTGAACCAGTGCCAAAGAGGTGTGGTCTCATGGAAAGGCTCGTAGCAGGGGAGGTTCCCTGGGGGGAGCAATGGAGGTGAGCTATCCACAGTGAGTGATGCAGGAGGTGTGGAGACACCTCCATTCTACATCTGGGGTGAATCCTCTGCTGTGGGGAGGTAGGTATAAACGAAGGCTTGGTTGGCCAAATAGTTGGGAACAAAGGGGAGTTCTGACTCCTTCTTTAGCTGTGGGAGGTTGTCTTCATCATCATCATCTTTCATTCCCATATCTTCCCAGTTTCTCTCCTTGATGTTGATTGGACTGGCATTTCTCCTTTTGTGGTAAGAATCTCTTTGTCAGCTTCTGATTTTAACAAGAGAACCCCTGGCCATGACAGTATTTACATACCCAATGTAAACAGGTCCAGCGGTTGACCTCATTTTCAGAGTTCACATTTCCCCTGCTCTCCACTAGATTCTGCACCTCTCAAATGTCCCCCAAGTCCCAAGGCCACACACTGCTCCCCTATGCTTCTGGCCTGCAGGCCCGAGCCTCCTCCAGTCCTGCAAATCTTGATTCAAATTAGGTACAGTGGCATAGCGTGCACTAACTTATAATGCATACTTCTCTAAGAACAACTTGTGTCTTTGCTATCCTAGGTAATTCTATTCTTCCTGCTGAGTTTGAAAATGATTGTTTTGTAATGAAAAAGAAGAAAAGTGCATAAAGTACTAAATACGGTAGTATACTCAAGTTTTTAACCACAAGGGAAAGAACTGAACACCAAAAGGCTGTCTCTCGAGAGGACAGCTGAGCTTAGACATGCCCATCTAGACAGGACACGTCATGAACTGATACTGTCTGCAATGGAATTTTGGGATCTGAAAAATGAGACTTCATTAGAGCTAGTTATCATTTTATTGAAGCAAAACCAAACCAAAGAAAAATAAAACTGTTCCTCAAGACATTGACATAGTTTACATTTTTAAGTAATAATAACAAATGTTTATTCTTACATATAAGACTCTTAGTAAAGTGCTTTACATTTAATAAAATATGGTTTCTCAATATGATTCTATGACTTGGGTACAATCTGTAACATCAATTTTTATTTTAAGAAAACGAGACTAAGAGATGGTAAATAACTTACTCGAAGTTACAGAGCTTATAAGTGAAGAGACCAGATTTGATTTCAGAAACTCTGAGAAATAAAATTCTACTCTTGGTAAATATTTTATTTATATATTTCCTCTTTTAATTATATCATAAACATGAGGTGCCATTGGTAAAGCAATGCACTGTGAAGGATTCACTATTTAGGGACAGATTCCTACATAACTCTCCTAGATAACATGGACAGGGCTGACAAGTTTTGCTTTGCTAATTCTGTTAAGCAGCAGAGGGAATGAGGAAGAAAAGAGATGTCAGAGGAGTTACAGCAATGTTGTTCTTTCTCTAGGAGGGATTAGATGTGTTTCCCTTGCAAATACAAAAAAATAAGCATTCTCTCCTAATGAAAACAAGATATTAGGAAGAAAATCTTGAAGTTTTTACTGTATGGTAGGGAAGTGTAAAGGCTGTTATGCTTTGAATTATGTACCTCCAAAATTGATATGCTGCAGTACTGAATCCTAATAGAGCAGAATGTGACCTTATTTGGAGATCAGGTCTTTAAATAGGCAATTAGGTTAAACAGACGTCAATAGGGTGGGGCCCACTCCAACTTGGCTGGTGTCCTTATAAATAGGGGAAATATAGACACAGAGCATAGTGAGAAGATGATGTGAAGAGACATACGAGAAGACAGCCATCTACAAACCAAAGAGCAGGAATAGATCCTTTTCTCACAGGCCTCAGATAGAACTAACTCTGTTGACACCTTGATTTTGGACTTTTAGCCTCCAGAACTGTGAGAAAATAAATTGCTGTTACTGAGTCAATACTCTGTTGTATTAGTCTACTGTTGCCCTAGTAGACTAATACAAAAACATTCTAAATAAAAGAAGGGGAAAAAAGGAAGAGGCAGTCAGAATGGTAAAAATAAACTCAGGTGCAGAAGATGAGCCCTAGGACAAGGGCACTAAGCAGAAGTGGTGAGAGATAAAGAATGTTTAGGAGCTCGGTGGACACAGGATGATGGGACCTGAACAGTTCAAAGCATTGAAATATGGAAAAACAATCCAAGAAAAATTACAATTAGAGAACTTGTAAAGGAGTGACCCATGGTCTGTGACATTGAAAAATGAGACAGTGCCTGCTTCACAGTCTAGGAAAACCCCAACACGACGAGGAGGAACAGCCAAGGAAAGACTCAAGATCTGGGGACAAGACGTGGAAGAGTCCTCAAAGGCACTGTACTCAGATTGATTCTTTAACCCTATAACCCAGTAGCCACATAGAGGTCTGAATCTGGAGTAAACATTAGGATCATTTACATTTGGGTTAAAACAAACCACAGAGTTCTTATTTCCACCGAGTTTTCTGATTTTACTACATAAACCCATGATCCAGGCAATCTTCCCAGACACATCTACTTCCCAGTAATGTTTCCCTTTGGAGAAAAATTCGCAGCCCAAGACATCAAAAGCAGAAAAATCACATGGATATTTTTTCCTTAACATAAAAGGGCACAAAACTGTCACTTGTCTTTTATCCGGAGATACCACAATATTTGAAATAGAGTTAACTGGATCCAGCATCACGTCCACTGTAGGAAAAATTACAAGGTCAGGTAAGGGATACAGAATGGGTGTGTCTTGTAACATTGTGAGGAGGAATATTGGGAGTTGACTGGGAGGAGCTTGTGTTGATGGGTCAGAGATGAGTAGGACACTTAAGAACTATTGTATGTATGCAGGTTTGGGGAAGAATGCATGAAGCTAAGATCATGGGACCTAGTAGTAACTTCTGAAAAGGGATCAGAACATGGAGATTTGAAGACCCTGTAACTTCTTACCCCAGTAGCGTCGAACGTCTGCCAGCTCTGAAATGACAAAAGTTGCAATGATGTTATTAGAAGCAAAGGAGTAAACACTGATACCTATCCTCTCTCTAGAGTGGGGACAGGGGAGGGGAGCCCTGTGAGGCTATGAACTGGTGAATGAGAGGACAAAGCAGACACCTACAATTCCCCCTTAGATCTGATCATCTTCAGCACAGGAGTTCTCTCTCCTTGTCAGGCCTACCTTCTCTCTTTTACCCTCATCTAGAAACAACATCCACTCCCCCATTTTGCCCTGATAGTACAGGAATACCCACACCCTTCCCCTGGTTGTCTTCACCTTTAAATGCTTGCAGCATCTCTCTCAGTTCAGAAACTCGGGACACACTCCTTCGTTCCTTGGGAAAAGTTTTTGGCTTCTTCAGAGTTAAGGTCTCAGTCCTAGGGATGACAAAAAACAGGGACCCCCACGTCTTTGACTTTTTGTTCCTCCAAAACCACTGACTTCTTATCATTTCACCCAATTGATTTACTTGAACCCTCTTCTCTGGGGATCCTGAGAAAGAAGGGAGTAGGTTGCTGATCTTGGAACCATAAAAAATGTGTTCATGTCCACCTTCACAATTACCCTCTGTGTGACCTTGGAAAGGTCTTGACCTCTCATAAGCATGGTTCATTCTTTCCAATATGAAATAATTAATCTTTCTCTCTCAACCTCCTAGAAATCATATGAAATTATATGATAATGCATTTAATAAAACAAAATAAAACTGTGGTCCTTTAAAAAAAATTAACGTGAGGAAAGGTCACTGGATGAATGTGAATTAACAGGGAGATGGTTGAAAGTGAGGTTGTAGGGACCAGCCCGGTGGTGTAGGGATTAAGTTCACGTGCTCTGCTTCGGTGGCCCCGGGTTCACTGGTTCGGATCCTGGGCACGGACCTACTCACTGCTCATCAAGCCATGCTAAGGCAGCGTCCCACACAGAGCAACTAAAAGGATTTACAACTATGATGTGCAACTATCTACTGGGGCATTGGGAAGAAAAAAGGAGGAAGACTGGCAACAGATGTTAGATTAGGGCCAATCTTCTTCAAAGAAAAAAAAAGAAAAGAAAAGAAAACGAGGTTGTAGAACCTGGCTTGTGGGTATTTGAGCATATCAAGTGTGGGAATACAGCCTGAAGGGGCCAATATCTTCAAAGTCTGCACCCCAGTAGGGAAGCCCTCAGAATTACATCTGAGATTTCAGGTTCTCCAGGAATAGTAACAAACCCTTGGAAAAGAAGGCATTATGACCACCAAACTAATAGTTTGATTTTTGTGTATTTAGAAAGAGCTTGATGCTACCAGGTGGATGTGCAATTTTAAACACAAGGATGCCACCTTTCCATTCAGGCTTCTAAATTACGTGACCAAGATGGATCAACTGTTTTCACAAGACCAAAATATTTTTCGAGATTCAAGTCTGTTTTTGGAAATCTAAACAAAACCATATACAAAGACATGGTCTCCTCCTTTCCAGGGAAGAAATTTAATTCTAAAGGATTTGTCTCCAATTCTGAGTGCTTGACAGATAAAGACGATACGACCTTCCCACAGTAATACAAGCACCTATGAAATATGGGAACCTGAGCTAGACACAGCCACACAGGTTGAATAAAATTTATAAAATCTGATGATGCAATGCCTTATCCTTAATAAAGCTACTGACTCAAACTCTGCAACTTCCCATCACCTAAATTCCCTATCATAGAATCTGGTTCATTCTCAATAGTTATAGAACACTCAAGCCATGATTTGTGAACAGAATCTTAAGATAAAACTACACCTCAAATTTCCTGCCCTGAGTGATGTTTCATTCTAATTGATCACCAGATAACTCTAATGGCTTCAAACATCTTTTTACAGCACAGAAGGACCATCTCTAGTCTCCCTCACATACCTTTTCATGATATCATTCACATCCTAAGGAAAAAAGAGAAAACAGGAGTCAAGAAGTGATACATCTTTCCCATTTACAAAGCTTCAGCACATCCCCACCACCAACTGATGTGGTGGGAATAGAGATGGTGCCAATGTGAGAGCCAAAAAAGTAATGAAAAGACCCAGACTGATCGTTCCAGAAGATTCACGTGAGGTTGTCAGGTTTCCTAAAAGGTAGAAACAGCTTCGACCCTTGTGGAAGTACAGCATGAAGTTTCTGGTATCTGGAGATGAGACATATTTACGAGGAAAACAAGAGAGCCTTAATTTTTTCCCCAAATGCATAAGACTCACCATGAGATGATTTGAATAATTCACAGTTCTTTCATTTATTCAACAGAAATGTAAAGTGGTATACTATTATTGTCAAGCATTATGCCAGGCTTTGAAGAATCAAAGATGAGTAAGTAATCATAATACTCTTCAAGGAGTTTATATGATTTTGCTGAGGGTACAAGCAAGCAAATGTATGTAGGCATTCCCCAAGTCTCTCTTATTTCATTTTATATACTATCTAAAAGTGAATTCATCTATTCCCTTAAGTTCAACACACACATATGTGCACTTGATTTCCAACTCAATTTTTACTCAATTTTTCGTCTTAAATTCAGGTTAATATAGTCAATAGTAAAGATGCCTTAGGAACCGGTTACTTAGGATGTCTAATAGGTAACTTACTATTCACCAACCAGATTGTCTCCTCTTACACTCTGTCTATAATGTTACTGATATCAACTTGGTCACTGTCCTAAAAGCTACAACATTCATCCTCCTTTTCAGTCTCTACTAAGTCAGTTTCATCCACATTGTTAACAGATTTCAGCCATCTGATCTTCTTCGTCATCACAGATATTATTTTATTTGTTTAAACAGATATGTACCAATACATTTGGTCTCTTTTACCTCAGGTTTGCTTTCTTCATATCACTAAAACTAGGGCAACAGCTGGATCTACACATGTCAAAAACATGATTTTCCTCTCTCTATTAGTGTTTATATGTGCATGTAAGTTAAAAAACAAATGAAAATAGATTAAATAGATAAAAGTATTTTTGAGGAGCAGTTATAGCTTTAGTCAAAGCTTAATTTTGAAGCTCAAACCTAGTCCTCATGATCTGGTCTATGTCCTTCTCCAAATTCTATTTACTCTCTCTATATTCACACCTTTATATTGATTATTTCTCAGTTCATAAAGGAAACAAGAATTTCCTTATATAAACTCCAGAAGAAAAGAGAACTTCTCTTTCCAGTTATCACAAAAAAATTCTGAGGACTTCATGGCATTGGCCTACCTTGGATCAGATGCACATATTGAAAGGTTCACTGCACTGTTGCTGGAAGGAAATGAAGCTACGTTGGAGGCAAATTTCAGTATTTTACTGGAATTTAGTATTCAATTAAGTTGATCATGATAACAACAGATGCATATTGTAATCACTAGAGCAACTACTGGGAAATAAACTAAAAAATATTCAATTAGAAAATAGGAAAACTCTAAATTTTGTATTAGAAATATTTGTTTAACACAAAAGAAGAATCCTAAGGTGAAAGAAGAGAATAAAAACTACAGGACACATAAAGAAAGAAAATGGCAAAATGGTAAATTTAAATATAGTCATATCAATAATTGTAATAAATGTCATTGACTTAATACCTGAATTAAAAGGCAGAGATTATTGGACTGGATACAAAGCAAGACTCATTTTTTGATATCTACAAGATACCTTTTTTGGATTCAAAGATGGGCAAAAGTAAAAATATAGGAAAACATATACCATACAAGCAGTAATCATAAGATTGCTGAAGTAGTTATATAATGTTAGACAAAATAGACTTTAAGACTTTAATACATAATATTATGAGAGAATGAGAGGGAAAATTCATAGTTATAAAAAGTTCAGTATGTCAAGAAGATATAACAATTATAAACATATATGAACATAACAACAGAGCTTCAAAATATGCAAAGCAAGATTAAAAGGAAAAATAAACACCACAATAATAATAGTTGGAGATTTCAAAAACTCACTCAATAATTGGGTAAACAGCTTACATGAAAACTATCAAGGATGTAGAAGACGTAGAAAATACTATCAACCAATTTAATGTAACTGACATCTATAGACCATTTCACCAGTGAATGCAGAATATACATTCTTTCAAATTCATATAGAAAATTTTTCTAGACATACAATATTTTAAGCTATAAAACAAGTGTCAATACCTTTCAAAGACAGAAATAATGAAATATATGTTCTCTGATTACAAAGGAATTAAATTTGAAATCCACAGCAAAAGAAAAAGTAAGAAATCATCAAGTATTTTTTAATTCAACAACAGACTTTCAAATATCCTGAGTTGACAAAAAAAAAAAAATCAAAGTGGAAATTTGAAAATAAGTTGAACTGAATGAAAATAAAAACTAAATAATCAAACTGTATGGAATACAGCTAAAGCAATGGATTTCTATCATTAAACACTATATCAGAAATAAGGTTTCAAATCAGTGATCTAAGTTTCCAACTTAAGAAAACAGGAGAAGGAACAGCAGATTAAACTCAACACACATACAGGTATGCACTTGCATATGCACACACATACACATAAAAGAAAACATTAAAAGTAAGAGCAGAAATAAATGATACAAAAAAGTTAAAAAGTAGATGAAATTAATGAAATGATACAGTTTCTTCTTGAAGAAAATCAGCAAAATTGACAAAACATAACTAAACTGACCAAAAAAAGAGGAAAAGCAAGTCACCAAAATCTGGAATAAAAGAGGGGACATTACTGTGAGTGCTGTAGAAATTAAAGAGTTTATATGGGATTATCATGATTAACATTATGTCTACAAATCAGACAAATTAGACAGAATGGACAAATTCCTACAAAAACAAACATTACCAAAAACTGACTTAAGAACTATAAAAAAATCTAAATAAATCTAATACAAGTAAAAAAAAAATTATTTTAAGCACTTACACAAAGAAAAGCCCAGAGGGAGATGGCTTCCCTGATGGAATTCCATTGAATATTTAAAAATAAATAATATCAGTCCTCCACAATTTTTTTTTCAAAAAATAGAGAAAGATGGAGAAAATCTCAACTCATTCTATGAGGGAAAAGAAAAAAAACTCTTGAATCTGAAGTGCGTGTGCTTGTCTGTGACTAAGTTAGAACATGAAGACGTACCTGATAAATGCTTAACATAGACCACAGATAACAAAGGCCTATAAAATATCACTGGACACAAGTGATCTTCTCTGGAAAGTCAAATTTTTGAACTGCAATTCATAAATTAATAAAAATGAGTTTTTCCCTTGTTATTCATGCATTCAATTATTCCTATAACCTCTAAAATAGATGCAGAAAAGGGGTATGACAGAGCCAAAGGAACCTTAGTGTCACCACCAAGAGCATAGCAATACAGACGAGAAGCAAACTAGGCTTCATTTTTCTCAGATCTCAGACACTGAGGCTTCTTCCCCAGTCTTACCTGCAGCATCTCCACTGTTGACCCCTGCAACCGATGTTCCACATCTGAGATGAGAGCTCTCACCAACTGACTCTGCTGGACCAGCTCATTCTCAGCCTCCATGACGTTACATAGAGTATCTTCCTCCTCATTCTTTAGCTTCAGCAGCTCCTTCTGCTCCTCGCAGTCCAGGATACCTCTCATTACATTAAATTGTCCCTGGACACTTTGTCTCTCATTTTGTATTTGATTCTTCAGGAATGAGAAAGAGAGAGAGGTACTCAGGCTCTCAGGCAGTGACTGGGAGCCAGAAAAAGAACAATTCTATTTGGGGAGTTCTCATAGGAAAGTGAGATAGAAGCAGGGGAGCAATTCTTGGGGAAGCTGACTTTTCCTATTATTTTCTCTTCATCGTATTCCAAAATAACGGCCTCAAAACTGCATTATTGAGACCTATTCTGAGCCGAATTTGACACCTGGGTGTGGTTCAGCTTTCACACAGCTGTGTAGGTCAGTCAAGCCTCCCTGTGTTACTCCTGACCCCCACCCCCTGCCAAAGGTTGAACATTGAGGACAGAACCATGAGCCATTGCCAAATGTCTTCCCCTAGAAGAGTCGAAGACTCAAACATAGGAAAGGAACACAGAATTCACTAGCTATCCTCACCAGAGAGTCCATCTATGTGAACACCTCCCTCCAAAAGTCCACGTTCATTTGTGACAAGTTCACTTTTCAGCCCCCACCCCTATCAGGGAAAGGATAAAGAAGAGGACTAATCAAATGACTTTTGGACAAATCAGCTGTCAGGAAACAAAGGGGAAGGGAGATTCTGTTGACTAACACCCAAGGTCCTACCCAGATTTCAGTCTATTTCGTACCATCCAGGAAGTTCTCTCTTTTCTGAAATCAGCTTCCAACTTCTGTGATTCTCGCTGCGCTTCCTTCAGTTTCTCCAGAGCTGCCTGGAGCTTCTCCTGTGAGAAAGGAATCAAACCAGAATGAAACACTGGGCTTTCTCAGCATTGGGATAGAGGATAAATGGGGAAGAAATCAGGCTGATCTCTGGAGAAACTAGAGTTTACAAAACTGTGAGAACAGTAATTAGAATCTGTCACTTGGAAGAAAACCTGAGGTGGTGAAACTGTTCTTTAAGACTCAGGTGGTAGAAGTCACTATCCTCTCCCCAAGAGAAGACTGATTCTCTTTGTCCCAGAGGGAACCTGATCCTGAGGTAAAGAAAGAACTTACATCACAATCCACCCAGCTCCCTAGTTAACTCTCCTGTTCACAGGGGTAATTAGATCTTTTCTTAGGCACCAAATCTCCACCTACTAGCACAAGGTACAAAAATATCTTCTTCTTTCTAAGAGGCTGTACTGTAGACTTATCCATTTGTAAATGGATGGAATGCACAGAAATGTCCTTCAGGCCTCAGAAGGTGAGCATAGGAAGAAAAGAGATCATAGCCCTGAGGGCTACGCTAAGGCATTAAAGACTAATGCAAAGTGGAGATTTTTAATCAAGTATAATTTTCTGCCCTGTCTTTTTTCCAACCTGGTCTTTTACCTGGTACTCCTGGGCAATCTCCTCCATGAGGAACGTGTGGTGACCATGGTGCTCCTGAGACCTCTCGCAAAGCCAGCAAATGACATTCTCATCCTCCTTACAGAAGAGGAGGAGTTTCTCTTCATGGCGCACACAGATAGCTCCCTTCTGCTTCTCCTCTGGGCTCAACTTGACCTCTCTGAGCCTCTCCACTATGTTGGCCATGGACCGATTAAGCTGCAGGTTCCCAGGCTGGTAACTGAATTGGCAGAGAGGGCATCTACTCTCTCTTTCTTGACTGACGATGGATCTTTTGTTGTTTGCAGTGATGCAGGCTTGGCAGAAGCTGTGGCCACAATTTAAGCTCACAGGTTTTGTCAAGAGCTCCAGGCAGATAGGACAAGTCACCTCCTCCCGTATGTTCACCAGGATTCCTGAAGCCATGGCAGCTGCTTCCCCGTCCTACCTGTCCTGACTTCTGAGCCTCCTCTTGCTCACAGATCCCTGCATGATTGGGAAGGTAAAAGGAGACAAATTAAGAAAGCAAGGAATAAAATGATAGTAATTGTGTAGAAATGAAGGATGAGCCAAGACCAAATTATTAAAGAACAAAAAAGCCAACATGGCAAAACAAGGAAAGAAGCGTGGTGACCTGGTAAAAAGGACTTTTCACAATAATTTCAAATACTTTACTCTCAAAATTTACATGACAAATTCCATCCTTACCTGTGCAATGATTGATATTTTCCTTTACTTTCACGAATGAAATGATGACCTGAGTGAGGCCTTTTCTACCACCATCCTTGTGTGAACCACCATGTATCTTGCCTGTTCTTTCTCATACCAAAAACACATCCTCAATGTTAAAAGCACCAAAGCACTTATGCCTCTGGATTTTTATACCTGCTCTTCTCTCAGCATGGAATTCTACCCCTGATATCAGTAGGATTCAATCTTATGCTTCAGTGAACTCTTTCCAGTCATGTTCTCTTATCAGAAAGACTCTCTCTAACTTATTTGTAGTGTAACTACTGACATCACTTGCTGTACGTTTGTGATAATTTCTCTTATTTTCATGACATGATATGAAAAAGTGTATGTGTACATGGTAAGGGCAAACCCTTTCTCGGATGTGTAAATAGAGATAATGAGTGACTTACAAAGATCATTTACCTTCAATAATCAGAGTTTGGATAAACATAATGTTTCTGAACATTCGGAACACTTCAACAGTGTGTATCTTCTTACCGCACAAAGTTATTCAAAGACAAACAGAGGAAACTTCATGGACCTCATTATTACCTAGAGCAATGGGGCATGTAGAAGTGAAGAGATCCAGGCGAGGTGGGAATTTCTGGTGAGTCCTGTGTTTGTAAATGGTGAGATTTCAACTTGGCCTGGAAATATGCCAAGGACATTTATTGGAACCTAAATATGTGTATGTATATGGATGGTAGAGAGGGAGATGTTATGGATATCCTCACAGGACCACACACGTCATATGCCTGGAAAAAAGAAACACACGTGAAATGAACGTTAGTCTTGAGAAAGAAGCCTCAAAATATTTGTCAAGAATATTCAACAAATTATCATTGATGATGAGTTATGCTAGCAACTGGACTTATATCAAAAACACAAAGATAAGCCCCAGCTAAGCTAAGTGAACCTGGCAGTTGATGTGTAATTAGGTCACATGGATGGAAATGGCCAACTATGTTGTAAATTGCTGTTCGTGATCAGTCAGAGGGAGTATCACAGAGTGGTAGCAGAGTGATGCTTGTTCTCTGACCTGGACTTAATATGGCCCTGTCGTCACAGTCTAGATCAGGATCTCTGCCAGATACTCCAAGCAAATGGTGCCATGAAGCAATAGACAAAGAAAAGGAAGATCTCAGTAGATGTTAATGTCTTGATAGTCACCAAAGTTTGATGGTAAAAGAAATATCTCTAGGTTAAAACAATTATTTTTCCATTTGCTCTGCACAAGGGAGGTTAAAGCTATAAAGACAGCATGGAGATAAATTTAGACCTACTAAAAGTGCCTACTTGTGCCATATTCATCATACATCGAGGGAAACTGATAAAGAATGAGGCTGAAGGTGAACCTGAAGTGTAATCCAGCTAAGGGTACAGATACTAAAAATAGCCCAGAGGCCATATGCAGTTAGCCCCCGGGTATTGCTTCAGAAGCCCCTGGCTTCAGATATTACATGATAATGTCTACCCCTGTTTATGACTCAAGGTGTGATCTAAACACGGGGTTGGGACCTCCAAGAGCCTGTAGAGGAAGGGGGAGCAGAGTGTGCTCCCTGCGTGGGATTACAGACTTTATTTTCAAAGTGGGGTATAAGAAGCTAACATCAAAGCACCTGCGGCCACAATAGACACAGAAGGGCAATGTGCAGAGGAGCCAGAGTCCTCTCACATGGAGGATGACCCAACCTCTACCTAAGCAGTGACCCAAGGGCTCCACAGCAATGAGGGAGATAGATATGAGAACATGAGTGGTGTGTGTCTGATAGAACTCCCCGGTCAGTTGGCTGCCATAGGTGTCAGGTGATTGCACCTTACACATTGGTCTTCGAACATGTGAGCTCATGAGAATACAAACTCAAAATGTCCCAGAGGTGACAGTTACAGACAAGTAAACAAGAAATTAAAAAACATTAACTATGTAAAAGTCCAAAGAATAAGAATATGAACAGAACTTTCTTCCTTTGTGACTGGACTACAACTGCTTATCTATACAAGAGGAAGCCACAAATTACTAATGATATGGGAAAGAGTCACTTCTCCCAAATGGAAAAACAGAAGAGTGGAAAAATGAAATTGCATTATGTTTTATTTGCCAGATAGTCATCTAATACTACTTAACATAAACTTATAATCCTAGCAAATTAAAAATTGAAGCAGAAAAGTAAAAAATCTATTCTAAATTCCTGTGATAATTGGCATGACAGAGGTGCACTGTATGAGCTCAGAAGGCAAGTGCCTAATGCTGACTTATGACTGACAGGAGGATAAGAATATGTAGCAGAGGAGATAGTCTTCAAAGTCATCTTTGGTAAAGTAAGATTGAGTCACTTGAGAGGAAGTCAGGGTGAGAAATGTGATTTGACTACTGTCTGCCATATGCCTGAGTAAGATGGGTACAGCTGTACCTTCTATAGGAAGCGGGAGTAAACACAGAGGCTCCTCTACTCTGACTTCGTTCCCTCATGGGTCTCAGGATCTTATTATCATACTGCATCTTCTGACTTCTTTGTACATCATTAACATTAATCAAGTAACTCATTTTGTTAATTAAAGTTAGAAAAGATACCACTTCTGAAATTCCTCCTACCTGCTCCTCTTGCTCCTGATCTCTCATCTGAGTTTTGTTTCTTTGTGGCAGGTATGGCTAATGGAAAAGAATGAGTAAAGTTAGTGATTTTTTAAGGAACTGCACCAATTTCCTGTGTCTGGACAAGTGAATAGATGCCAGCTATCACCCCATCAAGTTTCCTAAGAACAGACAAGCCAAGGTGTTGAGAATTTATCTACAGAGTCATACTGAAATACTAAATTGTTACACCAATAGTCATTACACTATTAGAAATCAAAGATCCCTCTGCCTTTGCTCCTCTTGTTGTGTGGAGGGACTTTCTCCTCTGATAAATCCAGGTGTCTGGCTGTCCTTGGCAAGGTACAATTCAAAATTATAGAATAGGTAGGAGACATAGATAAATTCAGCTTAGAGGAAAAACAGTCCCCTCCACGAAACAAAGAAAGTTTTTCACTTCTCCAAAGTCCCTTCTTTTAACCACCCCTCCCCCAGACTGCACTTCAGTCAGCACTCTCAGCAGGAAGCCTGCAAGCTGGGCCTTCCTTCCCGTTCAGAACAGCTTCCTGAAGACAAATTTAACTCACCCAAGAATATTCAATTTTTTCCTCTGAAGTCTCCCAACCTCTGCCTTCTACAAACTACTCAACTCACCTTCAGACACCAATGGAGAAGTTGTGATTCTTTGGAGAAGACTGAAGGCAGGCCAGGGAGAGGGTGGTCAGGATTCACTCACCAAACCAGGAGCCTGATCTTCACAAAGATTCAGAGGATCCAAGTGAAAGTGAAAGTTAAATTCTTGGGGGAGGGCAGAAGAGGAGAAGAGAAACTATAGGCCAATGAGAGGCCTCCATGTAGGGAGACTGGGAAATGACAAGGTTTTTGTGCCTGGGCCCAATGGGCCAGTGACTACATTCTTATCTCTCTCTCAGTTCTAGTCCTGGAAGCTCTTTCATGGCTCTTCAAGGTAATTGGACCTTTGGAGCACGAGGCTTACCTAGGCAATGTAAGTTCACACACACTCACTTCCACTTGTTTCCTTACAAATGAGCTGTGAAATGAGGGCATAAGGTACCTCCTTTACTGCAGTGAGGACCCACATTGAAGGTTCACCTGAGGCAGCCATACAAGCATGCTCTCTCCTGTCCTGCATCCACAAGCTAAGCTAAGTGAATCGGGCCAGTTTGTGTCCTGTAAGGTCATGTGAGAGGGAATGGCTAACCAAACCTGAAATTACTTAGGTGGTCAGTCAGAGGGGTTATCACAGTAGAAGCACAGTGATGCTGACTTTCAGAACCTGGACTCAGTATGGCCAAAATGAGACTTTTCCTAAATAGACAGGGAAGATGAAACCGTATGAAGTGTCATTTGTTGTGTAATGTCATCCAATACTATTTAACATATAGTATCTATATCTTACCATAATAAAAATAAAGCAGGAAAATAATTGTAATGGCTAATTTTACACGTCAACTTGACTGGCCACAGGTGCCCAGAGTAAACGTTATTTCTGGGTGTGTCTGTGTGGGTGTTATTTCCAGAGGAGATTAACATGTAAATCTGTGAACTCAGTAAACTAGATTGTCCTCCCCATTGTGGATGGGCATCATCCAATTTGTTGTGGACCTGAATAGAACAAAATGGTGGAGGAAAAAAGAATTGGCCCCTTTTGCTTCCTGCTTGCCTGTTTGAGCTTGGTGTAGGTCTTCTCCTGCCCTTGGACTAGGACTTGCACCACTGGATGCTCTGGTTCTCAAGCCTTCAGACAGGGACTGATTATACCACCAGCTTTCCTGGTTCTCCAGCTTGACAAAGGCAGATTCTGGAATTTCCCAGCCTCCATAATAATGTGATCCATTATATGATATATATCACATTGGTTCTGTTTCTCTGGAAAACCCAGACTATGTATTACTATATTTAGTAATGTAAAATTCTAAAACTCTGTTATTAAGTGGCACAGGTGATCTGTGATAATGATAATGATAATGAGAGTGACACAGATGAACTGTGCTATTTCATGTATGCCTAAAAATGACTTGTGGGAGTTAAGGGTACAAGGAGGATGTTGTAGAGGTGACAATGCCCAAACTCAACCTTAATCCAGAAAGATCTGGTCAGATAAGGGAAAGTCAGGGGAAAAAATAAAGAGCTTTGACTGGGATCTACCATCTGAGTGAGTCAGTCTGGGGTACGGTGTGCCTTTCACAGGAAAAGAAGTGGTCAAAAAAAGAGACACTCCAACTTTAACCTCCTTTTGTCACGGGTCTTAGGACCTTGTTATCATGCCACTTCTGCTGACATCTTTTCACATTATTAACACTAATCACGCATCTCATTTTGTTTTATTAAAAGTTGTAAAGATGCCCCTTATGGAAATTCTTCCTACGTGTTCCTCTTGCCCCTGATCTTTCAGCTGAGTTCTGTTTCTGGGTGGCAGATATGGCCCAAAGAAAATTAGGAGCAAGGTTAACCATTCAACACTTACCATTCCTATTCACCATTTAACTATATGTCCTAGCTCAAAAAATTAGACAAGAAAAACAAATAAAAAGCATAAATAGCAGAAAAGAATAAAGAAAACAGTCTCTTTTTGCAGATGACATAACAGTTTATGCAGAATATAAAAATAAATTTAGAGGAACCTACTAGAATTAGTAAGTAATTTAAGCAAAGTCATAGGACATAAGGCCAAAATTAAAAATCAATGATATTTTATAATCTGGCAGTGAATAATTGAATCATTAAATTTTAATATCCATTTTCAATAATGTTCCAAAATAAACTATGCTGAGGAGATAAAGGATGCTTCATTTCACACCCTTGGGTGGCTAGATGATTCACCTGGTCTGAGAGGCTTTATAGCACTGGGAGATACAGTGGAGTTGCTATAGGTATAAGATAAAAAACAGACCTAAGATTGAACAACACAGAGAGGTTAGGAGTCAGAATCAATAGATCCCCCATCACCATCCTTTAGAAAAATAGATGATCATTAGAATCTCATACCATTGAGTGCAGATCATGTTCTCTATTCCAATAGGATCTCAGATCCTCAGGCTTTAGAAATGTCTGGTCACCAACTAATGATGGCTGTAGATACGAGTGCCTGCTCATTGTCTGTGGATGAACCTGCAGGATGAAGTCTGCTTATTCCCTGAGATTCTTCTGGACTCCTCCAAAATTCTTGTTGTAGACATTCATCTCCCAAATTCATGGCCCAACACAACCCTAAGGTCCAGAAATACAAGATGGAGTAATTACCACTCAGAGAACTTGTTCATGAGAGAACCCACACTTGATTCCCAGTAAACTTTTTGAGTCCAGAATCCCTTCTCAGGACATTTACTGAGAAGAAGCTACTTAGAAGCTTCATACTCTTGTGAGGAAAAGGCTTCATTTAGGGGCAGGAGATGCTCTTATAAAAAGGGTGTCTTGAACTTGTCTTTTGTCTTTGCAGTACTTTTCTCTTTAACTTGGTTCTCATCTTGAACTGGTTTCCTCATTGAGTTATGGTCTCAGTCATTGTAGTAATAGGGTGACAGGAAAGCAGACGTGAAAGTGAATATGGATAAGAATCAATTTCTTCCAATGCCCATGGATGACAGTTTGAAGGATATATGTATGTGTGTTTATGTGGAGAGAGAGAGACAGCATGTATCTAACCTGGAATGGAGAACTGAAGAATTTCTTGTGAAACAAGGACCAGGGCAGACACTGGCCAAGCAATCTGTTATTTCTATTTCTCTCAGCTCACAAATTGGTTGGGAAAGTGTAGGAAATGGAAATGCCAAAAGACTCAAGGACACCACCATGCACTGCAGGAACACTCAGTGCTGCAGCATCTGCCCTGCTGTCTCACTGGAGGAGGAGAACAGGTTGTTGCTTCATTTCTGAAGACTACTGTAGCCTTTCAGCTCACTGGAAAGAGTGAGGCTGACCAGGAAAAGGAAACTCTGACTTACACCACTGCTGAGGGAGTCTGTAACCAAACTCCTGACTCTTCCTCTATCACTGTAAGTATTGATGAGAACCAGCAACCTGAGGAATGGAGATTGAGTTGGGAAAACAGAACAAAGCTTTTCCCTTGAGAGAGAATTACTGTGGAAATAGAAAAAAGTGTCAAATAAACCTGTACCTAGTATATTAATTTAGATTAAAGAGGCTGCTCTGTTAATTAAAATAAAAAACAGGATAAGTACCTTTGAAGAATATAAAACTTTTTTTTCTAATGAAGAATGATATATTATGTGCACAACACAGTATTGTTAACTACAGTCATGTGTCACATAACATTTCAGTCAACCATGAACCAAATATACGACAGTGGCCCCACAAGATTAGTACCATAAAGCCTAGGTGTGTAATAGGCTACCATCTAGGTTTGTGTAAGTACACTGTATGATGCTCACAAAATGATAAAATCACCCAATGATGCCTTTTTGGAATGTATCCCTGTCCTTAAGAGATGGATGACTGTATAGGCAGAACGTCGTACAGTAGATCTATAGGACTTATTTATCTTGCATAACTGATACTTTATATCTGCTGAACAGCAACTCCATAAAATTGTTAACAGGTTAGATCTCATGTTAAGTGTCCTTATCACAATTAAAATAAGACACTTTGATCAATAGCAGACTATTAAATAGCAAAGTCAAAAAGAATGCTTAGAGGAAAAAAAAACTAGAATTGTGTACAGATAACTGTCTGTAAGTTGAAACAGAGATATTTGAAGATTTTAAAAAAGAAATATTTGTTATGCAAAAATATGAAATTAAGAAATGATCTGTGATTCTTTAATCAAGTTAGTCTGTTTCAAAGCTAAGCAAGGGCACTAATATTTATAGTACATTAATATTCATTCTTAACATTAACTATTTCAAATCACAGAAGAAATTAATCAACACTAATTTGGATCAGTGTTTATGTGCTAGGAAATGAGGAGGTGACTATAAACATTCTATTATTTAATTCCCACAATTTCACTATCAAGTAAGTCTTAGTATATTTATTTCTGATGACAACCTGAATCCAATTAAATTTAACTTAATAAGGGCCAGTAAGTAGCAACATCACTATGATAATGAAATTCGATCTGATTTCAAAGTCCAGACTATTAACTGTCCACAGTGTTCACCCTCTACATCATGTCACCTGTAGGAGCACCCTGGTCATGAAGTAGTTCAACTTGGATTTGGCCATTACCATGACCTGCTCCTGCTTCATCAATCGCTACACGGATTGAGCTTATCAACCTCTATTTCCTCACTCCCCAGATTTTCCGATGATTCTCTCAGCTCTTGCAGATCAGTGTCCCCTGGGTTCTGCCTCCTGCCCCACATTGTTGGGAATCTGGCTCCAACTTTTCTTTGGGGGGTATACTGCAGAGAAGGTATCTGTGTTGGAGAAATCCAGGCCTAGTTCTAATCCTGCCCTCTCCACTCACTAGCTGTGGGACCTTGGGGTATATCTCATAGTTTATATATTCTTTCACTACCTGATAGGAATTCCTTCTTCATATGACATTTTTGAAGATTAACTGTGATAATGATATCCTATGTATATATATTTATATGCATAATTATTTATGTATACCTGTGTGTGTGTGTGTCTGTAAGTATGAGTGTGTATGTATATTCCATTCCCAGACCAAGTGCTTTCTTTTTCCATTCCCCTGGGACAAGTTATTACCCTTCTACATCTTGATATGGTCTCTGCGTAGCTGGCTGCCCTAGTTTATAATGCATATGCTCTACGAAAATTTGTACTTTTGTTATCCTGGATAAGTCTGTTCTTCATCCTGAATTTGAAACTAGTTAAAAAAGAAAAATCAATAAAATTTAATAAGATTTTATATATGGCGTGTAGACAAGTGTTTTACCACAAGGAAGAGGTCTGAACACCAAAAGCCCGTCCTTTTAAAGTAGGTGTCACTACATATGTCTCCCTTTGCTGGACACATTTTTTGGAAACTCTTACTTTAGCAATTTTCTGACCTATTCCCAATACAGGGCCTTAAAAAGAGACCCATGCTCAGCATAAAACGTTCCATAGAAGAAGACGGGAACTGGAGTGGTCTTGACACCAGAGGCCGGGAACCTGAGAAATGAGACTTTAGTGGTATCAATTATTGTTCCTCTGAAGGGCACAAATCTGCTGCACAGGACATTGACACAGCTTATACTTTTCACTAATCATGAGAGAAAATATTTATTATATTGTGCAGGACACTTAAATAGCTCTTCTACATGACTGACACAGTTTTACACAAGGATCTGAGAGTTAATTATAGTTTTAAATACCATTATTATTTTATGAAAAAGAAACACTGGATTTATTAATCATTATACATCTTGTAAAAGAAGAGACAGGATTGGAACTCAGACACTGTATACCTAAAATTTTCACTCTGGGTACATGTATGGCTTCTATTTTCCTTTCCTTGGTCTCTGATGAACTTGGTGTGTCCCAGGCAACAAATGGACATACACTCAGACTCCTTAGTTGTTGGTGGTGGGTAGGTTGTGATTATGGACTATGGTAGATAATGTGGATGGTGGCAGACAGGCTTTGCCATGTCTCTTCAGATCAGTAATAAAGGAAAATGTGGAGATATGGGAGGAGAAACATGTTATATCAATACTGCACTGTCTTTAGGAAGGATTAGATGTCTTTCTTTGAGAATACAAAAACAGGTAAACAGCAAACAAACATCTTTCCTAGTTCAAACCAGACACACTCTACATCCCAAGGATGAATAAAAGTTCTAAAGTAAAGAAGGAAGAGAGCAAGAAAGAGATTATTTTAATGGTGCAGATGAGCTCAGAAATAGAAATGAAACCCAGGATAGGTGGCACAACAAGAAGTGAGTGAGGGAAAAAGAAGGTTCAGGAGTTCGGGGAGCACAGAGTCATGGGAGCTGGACAGTTCCAAGGATTGAAATATGGATGAGAAATCTGAGAAAAGCATTTAGAGGACTTGTACATGCATGACCCATCTACAAGTGACATTGAAAAATGAGACAGTGCCTGCTTCATAGTCTAGAAAAACTCCAACACGATGGGGAAGAGCTGCAATGGAAAGAGTCAAGACCTTAGGATCCGAGATGAAAGAGTCCTGAAAGGCATTGTACTCAGATTTATTCTGTAATCCTTTAACCCAATATCCATTTTGAGGTCTAAGTCTGGAGTAAATTTGTGGATGATTCACTTTTTGGCCAAAAATAAACTCAGAAATCTTATTTATAGTGAAGTTACTTGTTTCACTGTATACCCCCAGTATCTGGGCAATCTTCCTAGACACATCTATTTCCCAGTTATATTTCCCTGAGGAGAAACATTGGCAGCCCAAGATATCAAAAGCAGAAAAATCACATGGTTATAGATTCCTTAATGTAAAAGTGTGCACACCTCTCACTTGTCTCTGATCCGCAGCTATGACAAGACTTGAAAAAGCATTAACTGAATTCAGCACCACGTCAGGAGGAAAAATCGCAGGGTCAGGTGAGGAATATAGAACTGGTGTGTATTGTGACATTGTGAAGAGAAATATTGGGAGCTGACTGGAGGTACTGGTGTTGATGGGTCAGAGATGCGAGGGCACTTAAGAACTGTTGTATGTGTGCAGTTTTGGGGAATAACACAGGAAGCTAAGATTGTGTGACCTATTAGTAATGACATCTTGTGAAAAAGGATCAGAATATGGAGATTTGAAGATCTTGTAATTTCTTCTTGCCTCAGCAGCATTGGACCTCTATCAGCTCTGAAATGACAAAAGTTGCAATGATGTTGTTAGAAGCAAAGGAGTAAAAGCTGATATCTATCTTCTCTCTAGAGAGGGGACAGGGGACAGAAGCCCTGTGAGGCTATAAAGTGGTGAATGAGAGGACAAAGCGGACACCTGCCATTCCCCCTTAGATCTGATCATCTTAAGTCCAGGTTCTCTCTCTTCCTGTTGGATCTACTTCTTTTCTTTTACCCTCATCTAGAAAGAACATCCACTCCCTCATTTTTCCCTAATACTACAAGTATCCCACACCCACACCTTTCTTCTGGCTTTTCTCGCCTTTAAACACTTGCAGCATCCTGCTCAGATCTGGAACTCAGAATATACGCTTCAGTTTCTTGGAAACCATTTTTAGATCTTTCCATGTCCAGGTCTCACTCCTAGAGAAGACAAAAATTGATCGTCCAACACGTCTGGCATCTCCAAGACCACTGTATCCCTCACTTATCACTCCATTGATGCACTTAAATCCTCTTCACTGAAGAGCTTGAAGAGGGGAGAAGGGAGAGCCCTGACACTGCAACGAGACGAAACATGCTCATGTCTACCTTTCCATTTACTCTCTGTGTGATCTTGGAAAGGTTTTGACCTGAAAGAAACTCATGTTCGTCCTTCTAAAATGGAAAAAATTATCCCCACACTTTCTACCTCTTAAAAATAACATAAAATCAGATGAAATAATTCTACCTTTAAACATATTTGATGCCTCTAAAAAAAGTATTTGATGCATGGAGCAGTCACTGCCATCTCAGTGGTTCCACCAGGCGATGGCCAGAGATGTGATGTCCCAGGCAGATGGTCAGTAGAGAGGCTCCAGAACTTGGCTACTGTGGAGTTTAGGTTATCAGTTGTGGGGTTCCTGTTTTGAAAGTCTGAAGGGTCTCCAAAGTCTGTTATCCCAGTACAGATGCCCAGAGATTAACATTTTCAGTCACATGCTCTGGGGAAACGTTACAAACATTTGGAAAAGAAGAAGTTATGATGACCAAATTAAAAGTGGTTTGAATTTCATGTGTTCGTGAAGATCTTGATACTGCCAGGTGGATAGTCAACTTTAGGCACAAGAAAAATGTTTTTCCTACAAGATGCTGAAGTGTGTAAGCAAGAAGAGATTAATTATTGGCACCAGGACAAAAGACAATATTCTCAGAATCTTGAGTCTAATTATTGGAAATCCAAAAAAAAAAAACACCTCTAAAGACTTTATTTTTTTTTATTCTCAGGGAGAAAAGTAAATATAAAGGAGCTGTCCTTGTGAAAAGTTTGGGGGCTTGGCAGATAAAGAGGAAAGGATCCTCCCAGCGATAAGAAATGTACCTAAGATGTATGGAAACAAGAGCTGAGGCAGACACTGAGGTTTAGCTACAATGAGTGAAGTCATGGAGTTCTGATACAGCAATTCCTCCTTTCTAATGCTTCTATTGGCCCGAATTCTGTGACCTCCCACCACCCAAATTCCCTACCATTGACAGCTTTCATCTGTGATCAGCAATTTGAAACAACGTAATACCCAAATTTCCCAGCTTTGTGATTTTGTTCTAAATTCTGGTTGATCTCATAACACTCATGGCTACAATTCTATCTTCACACAAAAAGGGACCACACCTCATCTCAGACACATAACTTTTTATGACGTTAATCACATCAGGGGGCTAGACAGAAAACATAAGTCAAATATAGAATTGAGAGATTTACAAAATATAAATGGCTAGTTAAATTTTAATTTTAGATAAATAACAAATTTTTTTAGTATAAGCATGAACTCTGCAATATTTAAGATACGCTTCTACCAATAAATGGTGTGTCATTTACCTGAAATTAAAATTTAAGTACTCATGTCGTATTTTTTGTGGCAACCCTTGAAAGAGTGATAAGCCCTCCTATCTTACAAAGTTTTACCCACCTTCCTCCTCACACCCCTAGCACCCTTTGATATGGTGTGAATAAATAGATGGTATGAATATTAGGGACAAAATGTAGCAATAAGACCCAGACCAACCATCCTTGAGGACTCATGTGATGACGTTAGAAAGATGCTTCAAGTATCTGGAGAGGGGTTATATTTAAAAGGAAGAGTAGGGGGCAGGCCCCGTGGTGTAGAGGTTTAGTCCAGCGTGCTCCACTTTGGCGGCCCAGGTTTGTGGGTTCAGATCCTGGGCGTGGACTTACACCACTCATCAACCATGTTGTGGTGGCGATCCACATACAAAATAGAGGAAGACTGACATAAATGTTAGCTCAGGGCTAATCTGCCTCAAGCAAAAAAAGAAAAGAAGGAAAGCTGGCAACAGATGTCAGCTCAGGGCGAATAGTCCTCCCCAAAAAAAAAAAAAAAAAAAAAAAAAAAAGGAAAGTAAGAGCAGAAGTCTACTAATGTTTTAAATACATTCTTGAGAAAACCTCATTAGCTCATCCTGCTTTTATTTATTCTAGACACCAACGAAGGTGAAATCTACTATTTGCAAGACATCATTTCAGGCTCTGGGGAATCAAAGATGCATAATTAATAACAGTCCTCAAGAAGTATATGTTCTTTTGTTGCAGGTATATGCAACGAGCACTTCAGATAAATATTTCTCTGGCCTGCCTCTACTCTATACACCTCCTACATATTACCTATAGGTGATCTCATCAATTTTTAAGTATGAAATAAGCCACAGAAACCACCAACTAAGAAAATCTAAAATGTAACATATTATTTCCCAACTATTTACATGCCATTTTCCAGAATGTTACTAATATCCCCTTGGTCACTGTCTTAGAAACTATGGTATCTTACCCTGAATTCTAATAGTGTAGTAAGCAGTCCAGGTCACATCCTCAACTTATTTTAGCCATCTTCTTTTCCCCAATATAACCATTATTTGTTTTATTCGTTTGAACAGAAATCTACCAATATGCTTGGTTTCAACCTCTACAACCTAACCCATTTTATACCAGAAGACTTGGCACCGGTTGACTCTATATCCTCAGGAAAAGTTTTACTTTCTGTACTAGGCTTTTTTCTTGTTATTGTATATGACAAAACCACAACTAAAATTGACTTAAATTTAAAAGAAAGAAGAAGAAATTGAGGAGGCAGGAAGAACTTTAGTCATAGCTACATTTTTAAGGAAAAATCTTGTCATCAGAATCTGTTCTTTCTTCTCAAAATTTTATTGTTTATCTGTTATGTTGTCTTTCTATTCAGACACTACATGGGATTACCTTGAATGTCTTGGTTTAAATGATGTCCCTGATACATTACCTTACAGAAAAGAGAATTTCTCTTTCCACTCATGGCAGCAAAATTCTAAGAAATATAAATCATCGACCTGAACTGGGTCAATGATTAAATGATTAAAATAATTACTGCATTGTTAGTAAACGTATGGGAATTAGATATAGTGATTTACCTATCATTGAGGGACATATACATCCTGGATGCTGCCAATTTTATCAACCCTAACCAACT